GTCGTCTCCTCCCCGAGACCCCTCTGCAAGGGGATCTCCAGTGGCCTACAAATGGGCTTTGGGTCTCCACTGTGCACATACCCCCCCACCCCCAATTCACTATGGTAAGATTTTTTGTTCTGATGATGCCTGATACCTGATCCCTTCGACACCTTGTGATCACATAGGCTGGTGTGCTTCTTCCATGTAGGCTTTGTTGCTTCTGAGCTAGATGGCCGCTTGTTTACCTTCAAGCTTTTAAGACCCCAGACGCTATATCTTTTGATAGCCGGGCACCATCAGCTTTCTTCACCACATTTGCTTATTCATCTGCTTTGTCTTCAGCGGTTGTGTTAGGAAGGTGAGCATCGTAGAATGCCAATTTAATAGCAGAAAGTATTCTTGCATTCAGGGAGTACTTGAGTGGAGACCCAATGTTCTTCTGCTACCTTAATACTAAACCTATAAATATATGCATTTTCTATCTTAATGATGATCCTTAAAAGAAATGTCAGATTCTCATGGAACCTTGTCTAATTTTCACTGTCATTCTTAGGTCTATCTTAATTTTTGTTATAGCTTTTGAATTTACTTTTTATTCACTTTATTATTTTTCTTTTTGGAAATGGAGAGAGAACTGGTCAACATTTATCAGAGTTGTTTAAAAGCGCTTTTAAGGACGGCATTAAAGACAACCTAACAAGGTTAGCTGTGTAATGTTAGGTTGCTAGGTACTAGCAGTTGTAGTTAATTGGTTCCCATTTGATGGTGACCCCATGTGGGCAGAGAATAACTGCTTCATAGGGCTTTCAAGACTTTTTGGAAACAGAGGTAGGCCTTCAGACAGCACATCACTAGGTAAGCAGATAGATTGAAGATTGTCTCTTGGCCAAGTCTTGAAGTTTAGGAGGCTGACAGAGTCAAGTAGCGCAATAGCCTTTAGCAAGAACAGAGTGAACTTTGGAGCAAATATGTTTAAGTCTGCAATGCAGAGGAGACTTCTTTGCTGCAATGAGTTGCAATCTTAAGCAACACACCAAACTGAAAAACAAACAAATAAACAAGCAAACTCACTACCATCAAGTTTATTTAGACTCATGGCCACCCTATGGGACAGGATAGAACTGCCCTGTGAGTTCCTGAGACTATAACTCTTTACAGCAGTAGAAAGCCTGATGTTTCTCCCAAGGAGTGGCTGGTAGTTTTGAACTCCTGACCTTCTGGTTCCTAGTCAAGTGCAAACTACTTAGCCACCTCCTAGTAACAGACAAACACAGAACTTATAAATATCAATATTAATACAAATTTGCCAGTGATAGATTTCACAGTATGTGGATTGAGGAGTAAAGCTTTCCACCTTTCTTACTACTACCAGCATCATAGAGAGAAAATCTTTTTAAAAGTTGTTAAGAAAATAGATTTCTGATCTATAAAGTTTTCTTGAAACTGGACTATATCTAAATACATTTAGATATAGTGAATATTTATTTCAAAGTGTGTGTACATATCTCATATGTGTATATTGATTTTTTTACGCACATATCTATCTATCTTTCTATATCTATCTATCTATCATCTATCTATCTATCTATCTATCTATCATCTATCCATCTATCATCTATCTATCTATGGATATGCTCAATGGAATGACAGTTACAAACCCCCAGGGTCCTCAGTCCCATCACCTGTAAAAGGAGGATGCAAGATTAAATTACCTAAGTAGTTACATGCTCTCGGAAAGGTAGCTTTCTAAGATTTACCTTTTAGTAGTAATAATGATATTTGTATAGTAGTAGTTATAGAGATACCTTAGTGGAACAATGGTTAAATACTCAATAACTGAACAGTCAAATGATGTATTGCATCAGTCAAATATCCTGGACAAGGCATTCTAAAGGTTTTGAAGTCATAATCCATACTGAAGGCTGTAATCCTTGATCTTCAATCATCGTAACTAAGCCTTCCTCCAATCCTGTGTTTCATTTCTTGAGCATAGGGTTGCAGCTACTTGATGGCACCTAGCAACAACAACATGGTGTACCAGAAGAATGAACAAACCTGTGTTGGAAGAAAGAACTGTAGCCAGAATACACACTTAAAAGGTTTTCAGTGGATATTACACTCCAAAGTGATCCTCTATATGTACCCATTGTTCTGTTAGCTGCTGTTAAGCAGGCTCCAAGGCATCACAGAATGATAGACAGCCTAGTCCTGCACCAGACCCAGGGCTGGTTGGGGATCAGGGTTTTCAGTGGCTGTTCTTTTCAAAGAAGATGGCCAGGTCTTTCTTCCTAATCTGTATCAATCTGGAATATCTGCTGACACCTCACCTGGTCTATGTCACAGCAACAGACACGCCTCCACTGACAGAGGAGTGGTGGCGGTATCCGAGGTGCATTGGCTAGGCATTGAATCTGGACCGCCTGCCTGGACTGCTAAGAATTCTACCACCCTCTCCTTGGGGGATGGACAATAGAAAAGTGGGTGAAGGGAGACATCGGTCAGTGTAAGACATGAAAAAAGTAATAATAATTTATAAATTAGCAAGGGTTCATGAAGGAGGGTGGGGATGAGAAGCTGATACCAAGGGCTCAAGTAGAAAGTGTTTTGAAAATTATGATGGCAACAAATGTACAAATGTGCTTGACACAATGGATGGATGGATTGTGATCAGAGTTGTATGAGGCCCCAATAAAATGGTTTTAGGAAAAAAGAACTCTACCACTGGGAAAAAAAAAAAAGAAGTGAGGCTGGCAAGAGTTTGCCTCCCTTACTTTGGGCATGTTATCAGGAGAGATTATAAACTCACTGCCATTGGATCAATGCCGACACATAGCTATCCAGCCACCCAATAGGATCGGGTAGAATTGGCCTTATGAGTTTCTAAGACCATAAACTCTTTACAGGAATAGAAAGCCTCATCTTTCTCCCAAGGAGTGGCTGGTGGTTTTGAACCGGTGACCTTACAGTTAGCAGCAGGAGAGACCAGTCCTTGGAAAAGGGCATCATACAAAGTAGAGGTTAATGAAAAGAGGAAGACCGTGACAGAGATGGTTTGACACAGTGCCTCAAAAGTGGATTCAAATATAGCAACAATTGTGAGATTGGTGCAGGTCTGGGAATTGTTTCACTCTTCAGGAAAATTTACAATGGGATAAAACCATTTTGTGATTAGTGATTATTTTAACAGTTGTATGAAAGCATTTATGTTCATCAAAGTTTTTTCTTGATCACTAAGATTATGCTGTACTATAGTCAGCGAGTCTTAATTGTAAAATTTCATTTTCAATCCTCAAGTTGTACAAATAGTTTGTTTCCTAGTTTTCTAACCATAGGTTTTTCACCTCACTGAGTTGAAAGTTGCTCTGGATGCTAGTAACTATTTGGGTACCACTGGGGTCTGTGATTGTGACCAGTTCATTGTGCCTCTCTGTCTCACTCTCTTCATTTATAAAGTAGGCGCAGGACAATAAAAGCCTCTGAGATCCCTTCAAATTCTGGTAGTCTCTGTTTTGCCTCTTAGGTAATGGAAATTACTATCATAATCATAAAGTCTAGTGCTGGAATTTAAATCAAAATCTCGAAAGGTTCTCTTCTTCTTTAGGAATTGCAAAATCTGTAGGTCCCCAGGAGGGATTATCTCCCCCAGTATCTCATTCACCACATCCAATATCAAAGTTATCTGAGCAGCAATTAGTTTTGTTTATAGTCTTGTAACAGTATTCTCGGCTTAAGGATTATTTATATCAAGAAGGAGGTTTCAAAAATATTTTATTTCAAATATTGGAACTATTTCTCCCCTTCACATCATTTCTCTTCTCTCTGCCATTACAACATCCTTTTCTTTGAATGATATCATCTTCCTCTTATTTATTTAACTATGACATCTGAGATTTATAACCCTTACATTTCCTATTCCATACATTGAGTGAAACAATTCTAACATTATCAATTCTCTTTTCATAATATAATCTGGACCTTTCTTACCCATTCACCACCCACCGATCCCTATGGTCTCATTGCCCTAGTGTAGTGCTTCCCAAAGCTTGGTTCAGAGACCGCACTCATTAAATCCCCTAGAGTTCTCCTACATAATTAGAATCACTTACAGTCTCTGTCTGTAGCGCTCCATAGCCTCAGAATAAAAGTCTTTGAGGAAAAGGCCCCCCCTGAATCCTTGGTCACCATTTTCTAGAAGATATTGTCTAGAATGTTCTCTAGAATATTGACCCAGGTCAACGGTCTCTAGAATTGTTTACCATCTCTCTATAGGAGATGTTCTGGGTGGAAGGCTGAACCAGGTTTTTTGACAGCTGGCTTACCAGGCATTTCAGATCACATGGCATTTTGTGTTAAAATAGAGCATTACCTGGCACCTCTTGTCCTCAACCTTGGATGTGTCTGCCAAAACTCGAGGCAGTCTTATTTAACATCCTCTTACACTTAATTTAATTCCTTTTGTCTACCTTTAAACAGTTTCTAAATATTAATGAATACATGATTAGTTAATTTAAGCATGATTAGCTTCATCATATTCTTATTCAGGCTTAGCTTTAAAAAATGATATTCCCTAATAAAATCCTCTGGTTGTTTTGGAAGCAGTTGTCTGAACTTCTGCATTTCCTGTGGTCACTTCTATTCTATTCTGTCCTCTCAATCTTTAAGCCTCCTTCTTCCTGTTTTATTGAGGATCCTTTCTTGGGGAGAGGATTTAGATAAAATTCAATTAATCCTCTAACACTCTTAATCACTGTTACACACAGAAAGAGAAAGAGAGACAGAGAGGGAGACAGCCAGACAAAGGAAGGACAGAGCAACATTTTGGGTACTGCCGAAGAGAAGTGTGTTGTCTTTGGAGAGACTTGTGCTGCTGCGGGGATAGAGATAAGGGCAGAAACATTGCTTAGAGGGTGGGCAGACCTCCTGACAGACTGTATGGGAAATGATCACTTTATTTGAAACCCACAAGCATTTCTGTGTGGAGAAAAGGTGTCAATCTTTAAATTACATTTTCCTTACAGACATAAAGAAGATGATTCGCAGAAGTGGGTGTTTGGAACTGACGGCTGCATTTATTCTAAGGTAGGAACTTAGAAAGCCACAGTTTTTATTCTTAAGTTTTCCTACTCCTGTCTTATATAGCTACTGTTGAAAATAAGAAATACGTTTTCTGCACAAATGATTTCACTGTGTGCCTAGACTTTTAGAGTTTAACTTAATAATTTCCTTATGACTTTACTTGATTTTAGAACCTCAAAATAAAAATTTCCCTTTCAATGCTATGATACTTCCCAGAATTTTAGGATTTCAGTTTTCTTATGCATGAAAATAAAGAGATTAATACTCTGAGAAACTGTCAATAAGTAGTAAAGCTGAATATGTCAACATAGTCCAGGAATTTCCCTATCAATTACATACCCAACAGACACGTTTCTCTTAAAGAAAAGATGTTTCAAAAAAGAAAGAAAGAAAAAGAAAAGGCATTTCATAGAATGGTAAGAGTAGAATTAGTGCTAATGGGCTTGAACTTGTCACTAACTGTCTGTCAGTTTGTCATATTATGATGGCTTGTGGGTTTGCGTGATGCTGGAAGATATGCCATCGGTATTTTAATGCCATCCAGGTCATCCATGGTGAACAGACTTCAGAGGAGCTTCCAGACTAAGAAAGACTACAAAGAAGGACCAGGTGGAACCTTTCTGAAAAACTGGCTGCATCCTCAAAATACAGTTGAAGTCAATAATGTGAATGTGTAAGGTTTTCAGGACTTTTATTTCCTAATGAGGCATGACATCAATAGCTGAAAACATCCATGAGTCATCAGAACATGGAATATATAAAGTATGAATCTAGGAAAATTGTAAATTATCCCAAATGAAATGAGATGCATAAAGTTCAATGTCCTAGGCATCAGTGCACCCCAATTGACTATTATTTGCCTTTTTGAATTGGATAATGATGTGTTTTTCAATGCTAGTATTGACAAATTCCAGAAGAATGGTGTTGCATTCGCTGTCAAAGAACAATTCAAGCTTTATCTTAAAGTACACTAGTATATGTGATAGGATTATATCCATATGCCCACAAGGAAGATGAGTTAATACAATTGTTATTCAAATTTAAGTACCACTTACTAAAGAAATGGAAAATTCTGCTGATTACTTTAACCTGAAATTAATCAAACTTGTAAAGGTACATTGATAATTACTGTTGATTGGATTGCAAAAGTTGGAAACAAAGAGGAAGGATCTGTAGTTGGAAAAAATGGTATTGGAAGGGAGGGGGAAGGGAAAAAAGGAAAATGAGCTGATTCCGGGAACCCAAGAGGAAAGCAAATTTTGGGAATAATGAGGGCAACAAATGTATAGATGCACTTTACACAATTGATCTATGTATTGTGATGAATTGTATGAGCCTCAATACATTGATTTTTTTTAAAAGAAGAAAAAATGGGATTGGTGATAGAAACAAAGCTGAAAAGCACACGATAGAATTTTGCAAGACCCACGATTTATTCATTGCAGATACCTTTTCTTAAACAATTTAAAGGACATGCACATACACCTAGCCAGATGGAATGCACAGGAATCAAATTACTATCTCAGTTGAAAAAGATGATGGAGAAGCTCAATATTATCAGTCTGAAAAAAAGGCTAACCGAAGAACAGATCATCAATTGTTCTTTTGCAAATTCAGTTGGAGTTGAAAACTTAAAATAAGTCCATACAAGTCAAAGTATGATCTTGAATAGATCCCATCTGAATTTGGAGACCGTCTCAAGGACAGACTAAACACTAATGATGGAACATCAGAGAAGTTCTGGAATGATATCAAGAACCTCTTACATGAAGAAACCCAAAATCCTTTAAAAAATAGGAAAGCCAGAAAAGACCAAATAGATGCCACAAAGTAGTTAAAGTTGACTGGAAGAAATAATGAAGTAATGAGCATTAGATGTCCAAGGGAGTTTAAGCACATTAAAAAAAAAGCATTATAATGAAAACATGCAAAGATCTGTAGTTAGAAAATAAAAAGGGATGAACACACTCAGAATATCTCAAGATAAAGAACCGAAGAAAAAAATCCAAGCCTCCAGTTAAAATACTAAAGGATTCGATAGCAAATATTGAATGATGAAGAAAACATCAGAAGAAGATGGAAGGAATCCGCAGTCACTATTCCAAAAGGGATCGCTCAACATTCAACCATTCCAAAGATAACATAGATGACCAAGCAGAACCCCCTGTCCTGGAGAAACCAGTCTAAATCACACTGAAGGAACTACCACAAAATAAGGCTCTTGAAATGGACAGAACACCAACTGAAATGTTTCAACAAACGAATGCACCAATGAAAGCGCGCACTAGTCTCTGCAAAGAATTCTGGAAGACTACCTGGCCAACTGACTGAAAGATCCATATTTGTGCTCATTTCAAAAATAGATGATTCAACACACCGTGGTAATTATCAAACAGTGTCATTAATATCACATGCAAGTCATTTTTTTCAAAAGATAATTCAGAAATAGTTGCAGCATTACATCCAGAGGGAACTGCCAAAAATTAAAACAATTTAGAATCCGGCACAGAAGGAGGGCTATCCAGAATGACGTCAAAGAGCCAGCAAGACCGCCTGTAAAAGCCCAGGTAGAGAAACTGAACTCCGAGAGGTAGGAACCAAGGAGGAGCCATCAGCTCCTGCTCTCTCCAACTCTACCCGGGTGAGGACACCGATGAAGGCAATGCCTAACGGGACTAAGGACCAGTAACTGATACGATGCTGAATTAATCTTGTGTTACCCTCATAGCTAAGGACTTAAGTTAATTAGAAGATTGTTAGATTGTTTCATGTGTGTTTGAAGTGAATAAATCGAGCATTCGAAAATGTCAACAACAACAACAACAGCAGAAAGAATGAGTGCTATCAGGTGGAGCTTAACTGTGTTTCATTGCCTGTGCAAAAGCATCGTAAGAGACCCCGGATAAAACTGCAAGAAGTAAGGGAATTTCAAAACACTTAATGGCTGTTTTTTGTTTGTTTTGAACTGTGACTCTTATTTTCTTTAAGAACCCCTTCAGCCTGCGGTGAAATGATCAGGCGCAAGAACACTTTCCTCAGGCAGGTCATTAGAATAAATAAATAGCGTGCACAGACCCGCTCCAGAACGGCTGGAACCGCGAGGGCAGACCATCTGAGAACCCCAGGGTCACCGGGCGACTGAGAGGGGTAGGGGTGGGCGGAGTGTCTGGCCACGTGGTCGGGCTGGCTCAGCTCCTGTCCTGAGGAAACGTGGACTGCACTTGCACGGGATGACCAGCAGGCGCGCAGCAGCCTCCGTGCTGCAGCTTCTTCATCCTGTTGAGTGCGCTGCTGGCCACACCGCTCCATCTGGGTCTCGTTGAAAGAGTGCTTCAGGAGGATGGTCTCCTGGGTCCCCTTGGGGTGTTTGATGATGCAGTTCAGGGGCTTCCCGGGAGCAAAGTCCTTCAGGTCTTGGATGGTCAGCTTGTCTGCGGGGTGGATCTTGTTGTAGTCAGCGGGGTCGGCGAATGAGGGGCAGCAGGCCCTGTTTCTTCCACCTAATTGTTCTTATGTGGAACCCATAGGCAAATTGTTCTTCAATGGTTTAAAATCAGGAAAGATTTGCATTAAGATTGTATCTGTTCTCCATACTTGTGCTGTGCAAATAATATGTATGGTGAGCAAAAATATCTGAGAAGGTAGACTATATGAAAAAGAACAAGGCACCAGGATTGGAAACAGACTTACTAAGCTCCCGTGATATGCAAATAGCACAGCGCTTGTTTCCGAGAGTGAGAAGGACCTGAAAAGCCCCGAGGAAGAGCAGTGAGCCCAGCCTTCAGTGTGGAGCATGCCACTGCAGGAAGCACACGGCAACCACCCCAACAGGGCCAGTAAGCCATCTGGTGGTTAATGGAGAAAAGATTGTTGTCGTCAAGGATTTTGTTCTACTTGGATCCTACAATCAGGGCTCAAGAAAGCAGCAGCCAATAAATCCAATGGATTGTATCAGAAACATGGGCTACACCAGACCTCATTAAAATGTCCCAGGAGACATAGTGCTCCTGACACAACTCATGGTGTTTTTAATCAATTCATTTGTCTGTCACCAAGTGTCTGTCAAGTTGTCATATGTGGTGGCTTGTGTGTTGCTACCCTGATGGTGTAGTGGTTATGTGTGGAGCTGTGAAATTGTATGTGTGGTCAGCATTTCAAAACTACCAGCTGCTCCGAGGGAGAAAGACTGGGCTTTCTCGTCCTTTAAGCAGTTAGAGTCTTGGAAGCCCCCAGAGGGTTGTTGAGTCAGAACTAACTCAATGGCAGCGAGTGAGAGCCATTAGCAGGGTACCTATCTCCCTGTGCTTCCTTCAGCACTCTCCCTTGGGTGACTTTGTAATGGGATACCACCAGCTGGGTACCTCCCCATTCCCCAAGAGTCAATTCTGACTCATAACTCTCTATAGAACAGGGTGGAACTGGCCCTGTGGGTTTCTGAGACTATAACTCTTTATGGGAGTAGAAAGCCTTATCTTTCTCCTGTGAAACAGCTAGTGGTTTTAAACAGCTGACCTTATAGTTAGCAGCCAATGTGTAAACACTATGCCACCAGGGCTCCTGTTTGAGGACTATAATTTGACACAACCCTCAAATATGAAAGCATTTAAAAATTACCCTTATCTAATTTCACTCTGAGACTCACGTCACCTTATCCTTCAGTCCTGTGTCCATGTCGGATCTTCACCATATTCTTGAGCCAAAGCGAGGCTCTGGGTTGGTAGCGTCACAGAGAGTGAACCACGTGCATCTTGGTAAACATAAGAAGTAGAATTTTGAGACTGTACCAAAATGCCCCACCAGCTATTTGGCCTGCATCTGCCCATAATGACTTCATTCCAAAACATTCCTAAATACAGCTAGCCCCTATTACCCAAGAACATAATTCCATCTTACCTCCCCACCCCACCCCCTGTCCCCGACGGGTAGGACCAAGGTCTAAGTCAATTCTCTCACAGCCTCTTTTCTTACCCTCATATATAGACGCCCAATAGTCACTGCTGTTC